AAGAAATTTTCCCTCACGTCCAATCTAAACCTCCCCTGGTGCAACTTGAGGCCATTTCCTCTCATCCTATCACTTGTTACTTGGGAGAAGAGACCCACACCCACCTCGCTACAACCTCCTTCCAGGTAGTTGTAGAGAGCGATGAGGTCTCCCCTCAGCCTCCTTTTCTCCAGGCTAAACAACCCCAGTTCCCTCAGTCGCTCCTCATCAGACTTGTTCTCCAGACCCTTCACCAGCCTCGTTGCCCTTCTCTGGACACGCTCTAACACCTCAATGTCCTTCTTGTAGTGAGGGGCCCAAGAACTCTTCTGAACAACCTTCAGTGTTCAGAACCAAATAGTCTTAGCGACGCTCCAAGAAACCAAATTAAACCAAATTAAAACTATCAGCTTCAAGATCCAACTCACAAACCTAAAATTCAAATTTAAAAAAGAAAAAAATAATAATCACACAATCATTAAAGTTGTACAGGACATTTTGAGATCACTTCACCCTACCATTGTTACCCACAAACTCTCATTTAGATGGCTTCACATAATAGTTTTTCCTTACATTTTGTTTTCCAAATTTCTCTTTTGCAATACAGACCAATTTTATCCCTGGGTCCTGGTTTATATTTGTCTACATTTAATCTTAGTTGTCTGTTAACTCCAGCTTGATGTCTTACAGGACATCAAGAGATGCCTGCATTCATGCATTTTAATTAAGTTACACTGATTGTGAATAACAGCTTGCAAAATACGTGTGTCAGAAATTACAAACTGAGGGTACAGGAACAAATCATGAAGAACACAGAGTTTTTGATGGTGTGCTGGTTTTGGCTGGGGTAGAGTTAATGTTCTTCACAGTGGCTGGTATGGGGCTGTGTTTTGGATTTGTGCTGGAAACAGCGCTGATAACACAGGGGTGTTTTCGTTGCTGCTGAGCAGTGCTGACACACAGTCAAGGCCTTTTCTGCCCCTCACCCCACCCCACCCCACCAGCAAGCAGGCTGGGGGGGCACGAGAAGCTGGGAGGGGACACGGCCGGGACAGCTGACCCCAAGTGACCCAAGGGATATTCCACACCATATGGCGTCATGCTTGGCACATAAAGCTGGGGGAAGAAGGAGGAAGGGGGGGACGTTCGGAGTGATGGCGTTTGTCTTCCCAAGTCACCGTTACGTGTGATGGAGCCCTGCTGTCCTGGGGATGGCTGAACACCTGCCTGCCCATGGGAAGCAGTGAATGAATTCCTTGGTTTGCTTTGCTTGCGTGCGCGGCTTTTGCTTTACCTATTGAACTGTCTTCATCTCAACCCAAGAGTTTTCTCACATTTGCTTTTCTGATCCTCTCCTCCATCCCACCGGGGGAGAGTGAGTGAGCAGCTGGGTGGGGCTTAGTTGACGGCTGGGGTTAAATGACAGCAGATGGAAATTCTAACTGCTCCTTCACTGAACCAGAAATGAAGAACTGCTACGTGAACACAAGTGTTTTGATTGAAAAGTTAAAAAATGTATACTTTAAAGACTATAGAACAGATAAACAAATTTATTTTTATATAATTGGTTTTGACATTGCAAGGCATGAAATTTTCCTTTCACCTCACTAAAGCAATGCTGTAAGTATTTTGATGCTAATACACAGGGAGACACCACTTACGTGTACAATTCTCAACAACCATGCTCTGGATGTGGCTGAAAGTCTCCTTTACGAAACTTTTAAAGAAATCAATAGTGCTGTAATTGGTTATTGGGTGAATCCTCCCTCTTACACTGCTGAATCAGAAACTGAAAAGATTTCCTTCACATTTTCAATTTCAGTACTATAATTATTAATGCTTTTGAGTATTTTAGGACCCATGTTTTGAAAATATAATACTTGGTCCCCTAAACATATGCTGAATTTTTTCCTGTCTGCAAAGGAGAATAGGTTTGCAACACCCTAGCAGACTTAACGTTTCCCTTTTAGGATACCCTTTTATGCCAGGTTTACAGCAGTATCATTGGTCCAATCATATCCTCAGTCCTAAAAAGAGAGTGTTTTGGTTTTGTTTTGGTTTGTTTTTTTAATAGAGGTATTCAAATAATTTTCAATAAGACCACTCTTTATGTAAAGAAAGAGCTTAGTATGAATTTCTTCACAGACTTACTGCACCACGCACTAACTTAAATATTGTACTGCACAAAAACATCCCCATCGGGCAGCTGTCAAAGAAACCAGAGAAGTTTCAATTTACCTTTGGTTTAAAATATATAAATTTTTTTAAAATGAAGTATTTACCTCTCAGTGATGCTGCACTTAGGTCACTGGTGAAGAAACAATACTGCCCTTCTTCCTCCAAAAAGCTATGTGAGAAGCCAAAACCAAGACTAGGGCTGGAAATGAGTAGTGCTGTTTCTAGATAATTCAACTGGGTGGCAGGACGGCAACAAATTCTCTGAATCTGATTAACCGTGAGAACTATTTAGGCGGTTAAATATGTTCGTTTGATCGACACTTCATCCTTGCGATGACACACCTAAACTAGTTCTTCCCACTTACAAAAAAGATTTGATCTGAACACAGGTTGGCGTGACAGGCAGAAATCAGACACCTGATCAAAACAGACTCATTTGTAGAACTCGGTATCCATTATATTACGCAGTTTTGTCTGCCCAAACGCACCACAGATGTAATTCCCATTTTATTTGGTGATTTCATTTCAGTCTTAGGTCTTTTAAAAGCAGGACTTTTGCTTTTATGCAGAGAAAACCTGAAGGCTAATTTCCAGTTCCAAATATTTTTGGCTCAGAGCCTTTGTTACTCTGAGGTGAAACAGTCTCAGCTGAAGAAAAGGAAAACAGAAATTGAGTGAAAGAAGAGACCTTTACCAACAGCTACTGTCGGCTTCCCTTTGAAGTGATCTTGACTGTTGCAGCATGTTTCATCTCTTCACCTCCTACTTTGTTCATCCTAATGTTTAGGCGCAGCAACAGGATTACGTGCAAACTACTGTAAGAACAGAAGTGAAGGATAAACTGTATTTTCTTATATTTCATTTTGCAAACCTGTTGCCCTCAGCAAATTCAGGCCAGAAAA